TATATATATATATACAGTATATATATTACTTAATATCAAATTTAGCTAATCCAAAAGCAGGGTCTAACTAGTTTATGTCCCATAAATTAAATTCATTTTATAATAATAATAATAATAATAATAATAGGGAACATTCTTTTTTAAACATGCTAAGTTAATATTATATTGGATTACAGTATATGAACATATGTACAACTGAAATTATCATATTTGTGCATCTAATGCTTAAAAAAAGTATTGAGACAGTAAAAGTGTATCACATTCAAGTGTCCCACTTGAATATGATCCACTTTTGCTGTCTCATTACTTTTTTAAAGGTGCCATAGAATGCATTGATACAATATTTTAAATTGTTCTCTGATATCTACATAGAAGGTATGTGGCTTAGGTAAGGGCAAAAAATCTCCAGAAACGGTTTTACATGTCCATTTACAACCTTAGGATTTGTCCCTAGAATGAAATGGTCTGTTTTTACCTTATTTGGAAGGGTCATGAATAATAATGTTGAGCTCTGCTCTGATTGGCTGTTTCACAGTGCGGCTCATTTCAGTAGCTCACACAGCAGGAAGGAAACACAGGGAAAATATATATTTCAATACTGTCTCTCGCAGTTATATCGTTGGGTAATTATACTGTATATAAAATGCGGGCATCAGGGAGCCACTATTAATATGCAGGGATATGCCAATGCATGATCGCTTTTTACTTTCACTTCCAAGATTTGCGATCGCACGTGCTCTATGTAAACTACAGCGGCAGTACTTACCACACATTTTACAAGATCAGATGCTTGTCAGTGGTGCTCAGGATCTGTAAATCATTCGCCATCATCCTCAGTCATCTCTCCACTCTGTTTATGTGGTAAGTGAAATCTTATGTACCGTAATGTAACAGGCTACCGCTAGCAAGCAGCTAACCATGTCCCTTTAGTGGCTTGCATTATTTTATTAGAATGCGCGTTATTTGTTTTCCGTGCCTTTCTGAATACAGACACCAACCCATCCCTGCACATCACATCTCCTGCACAGCCTGGAACATAACATTTATTTCCATGATCTGCCATTTTCGCTATTATCCTCGCTTGTTTCTTCATAATACCTGCAGAACTTCTGATGATTCGGCTGTGCAGGTCCTGCTGGCCTCGAACATGGGCGGGTATATGCAAATGTTGGGGGCGTAACTATTAGTGATCCCGACTGTAACGTCACAGTCAGTGTTATGTTCTGATTCGCCTATTTTTCAGTGGTCTTTTGCATGCACAAGATTGCACAAGAAGGAGGAAACAATGGTGTTTGAGGCTCACAGTATGTCATTTCCATGTACAGAACTGTTATTATTCAACTATGCCAAGGTAAATACAGTTTTCCATTCTATGGCACCTTTAATGTACTAAAACTGAAATAAAACGAATAAAAACGAAATATACATACATTATATTTCATTAATATAAAAATGAAAACAAATTCAAACTATGATAGTATCAATGATACTAAAATAAAACTCGTGCCACAGTACAGATGGTAATACCATGGTACTGAAAGATTACCACATCTGTGCATCATGGTATTCTAGAGTACTTTTTTTCTTCTTTTTTTTTACCTTAAATAGTTTTTTTTTTTAATGACAGCCACCATATATTTATTTATTTTTTATTTCAATAATAAACGAGAGAAACAATTATATATTAGGATGATAGAAAACATTGTATAGAATGTATAGAATATATTTGAATAAATATTTGTATAACTCATTATTGATCATTATATCTAAAATATAAATAAAATAACTATTGAATTCGGACTTTGCGGTTTATTTACATCTTTAATATTAATTTAACAACTGGCAGGGTTCCCTGTATAGTTTACATCATTAACTGAGAGGTTGTTGTTTTCAGAATCTAATCGAATCAAGAGCTTGTGAATCAAATAGATTTGTAAAATCTGTATCAACACACGTGGATTTCAGAAAAAGTGCATAATTTAAACAGCAGATGTACTGACCATGGATCTCTTGCACTCAAAGAAAGCCACTTGCAAGCCTTTGCAATGTCCTTCCTTCAGACATGCACTGGGCTTCTTACCCTCCTGTGACACAACAGAGACCATTATTATTGAGACAGCTAGTGGGGGATCAGAAATATGCTTTGGTTAAACTCATGCACTGTTTTTAACAACAACAATCTATGTTATTGTGAGAGAGGCACGATAGATCTGTCAGGCTGATGATAATACATATTCCTGATAATACCTTCACTACACAGTCATGCTGAAGGAGACAGGCTTTGAAATCTTCTCTTAATCCAGCGCAGGCGCGGCCATCGTCCTCTTTATCCTCGTAATATTTGGGCATTCTGTAGAGCTTTCATCCGAGCAAGTTTAAGCGAAATGTGGGTTCAGAAACGTGGCAAAAAGAACACAACAAGCTACAGATAAGTCAAATGCGGAATTATTATGAAAGCGGCCATGTTACGTATGACGTATGTAAGGGAGTGGAACGGAGGTGGATTGTGGGAATTGTAGTTCGCAAATGTTCCATTTGTTCGCGCTTCCAAACCTCAGCACTGCTGCAAACGTTTTATTGAAAATAGCGTTAAATGACGGAATTTATACTGTCGACAATTATGCATCGATTTCAATCATTTGTTATATTAAGCACAGTACTCGACTGTCGTATAGCAGTGTGCAGCATTTATATTGACCAGAAGATGGCACTAAAATAATGCTTTTGTCGTATAATATCAAGTTTACATTGGCCCCTAGAGATTTGAGTAACGCTTAAAAATATCATTGCTTTAGGTAGGCTACATTGTGTCCGTTATTTTAAAGAAATACAGCATTTTCAGGGAAAATGTTTAAAAATACACGTACTGTAATAGGAGCTTGAACAATTTCTTGGAACATGTTTGTTAATCCAGTTGTCTCGCTGTAAAAATGACTGGCATTTTGTTGGTAAATGGTTTGATATTTCCATTCCAGATTTAATGTAATACAACTGTACACAAAAATATTTAGGCCTAAATAAAAGATTTGTGTACTTAAGTTGTATAAAATTACTACCAATTTGAATAACAAAGTTTTAACAAACAAATTAATAAACAATGTGATGCATACTTGTAAGACATACATAAATAAAACAAAAGGTATGGTAATATATCTGCACTCAAAAAAAAATAACGGCATAGTGGTTTCATTTTATTTACTTAGATTTTCTTTTATTTATTTGATTTAAATAATCATATTTTCAAAATGCATTTATTCAAATCGCTTAGAATCTGTTCACTGTGAAAGCAATTAAATTTATTAATTTAACAAGTATGTAACTATAATACATATACCCGTGGAAGAAGTAAGATTCAGTTAGGCTAGTTAGAATGCATGAGATTGAAACAAACTGGATTCATCATAAATATATATATATAAACCTGGTTATTGTGTATTTAAAATGCATTCATTTGATTAGTACTGACAAATATGTACCATAGATATCTTGATTAGCTTGTTAAATCCTAAACTTAGGCCTATTCTTTTCTTTAAGACTGTAGGAAAATATTGTTTAGGCCCTAAAATAGCATAATTCATGCATACAACACTCTTTATTAACATCACATCATGCCTCCTCAAAACATGAAAATGTTTCTCACAGTTGCATGATTAAATATGTAAGATAAATTAGTTAAATAAATGAACAATGAGGGAACACCGCAGAAACATAAAAAGATGAATTATGTCAAGAAGACTGGTTTATTTTGCAACAGTTTATTCAAATCAATGTCAGAGCTGGAGAGAGACAGATGAAGGCACATGAAAGTCTAGAATGCACCACACAAGAGGAGCACGTTTCATGTCTGACTCATCTCAATGTAAGACCGAAGGGTGGATTTCAAGATGGACATGCGCTGATGGGAAACCGGCCCATGAGAGTTTAATGAGAGGGCAACGGACAACAATCCATCTTTCAGTGCTAAAACAGATGTGGAACCCGATCATTGAGCACAAATCTGACTAAAAAGGCAGCAATATGGCAAAACACTATGAAAACCACTCCACTGTGGTTTCACTAGTCCATTCTCCAGAAGTCATGTCATATGAGGATGTAAAGGAGAATGATGATACAGTGCTCTAAACTCAGACCGAGAATTGATCTCCATCTCTCCTCTCAGGAGAGATCATTAACAAACTGTAAACAAATGTGTATGACAGTACATTGGCTTTCTATTACAAAACACACACTGCGATTCACATCCGGCTCCAAGTAGTCACGAAAGTGAGGGTGTACAGTATGTATCTAAAAAGGATATGTTCTGAAACTTGAAGCATCAAGGATTATACAATGACAGACTGAACTAAAACTTTCATCTTATTAAAGATATATACAATCACATGAGATGAGAGCACTTTGGAAATCTGTACAGCAGTTACGTCGCCATCAAGTCCCTATGTCAGGAGCTACAAGCAAAATAAATACGAACCGTAGCTTTACAAAACCAGCACACTTAACACTTCTGAAAATAGCTGGAAATGTAGCTGTTCCATTCAATTTCTATTATAAATCTACGGTTCTGGTAATATTTTGCTCCAGACCAGGTCCACATAGAATCTGCACCAGCAGCACTCCATAGAAATCTTTGAACTGCAGTCATTCATTAAGTTCTAGAGTTTTTACATATTGTGGCTTATTTGATTAAGGTGATGAAAAACAAACATTTCAATACTTTTAAGTTTGCTTGCAAAACATTTGCACTAGTTTGTAAACGCATTGTTGCCTCAAGAAACTTTGCGTTCACTTGCAAAAGTTCTACGTTCCCCCAAGGAAATTTGCGTTTGCTCGTAATACTTCTACGTTCACTTGTAAATAGTACTGCGTTTCTCCAAGAAACTTTGCATTGGCTCGCAAAATGTTGTTTTCTCACAAAAATTAATGAAACGGTTCTTTCCCCCACCTCATATTTTAATCCCAAAACTTTTGGGAGCAATTGCAAAAGTATTGCGTTGCCTCAAGAAGCATTGCATCGCTCGCAAAACTTCTACGTTTACATGCAAAAGTACTACACTCCCCCAAGAAACTTTTGCAATGCTCTCTTAAAAATTCTCTGTTCCCCCAATAAAATCTGCGTTTGCTCACAAATCTTTTGCATTAATTCGCAAAAAGTGCTGCCTTTCCCCCAAGAAACTTTGCATTCGCTTGCAAAACCTTTTGAATATCTAGCAAAACTTTTGCGTTCTCTCGCAAAGTACTGAAAAATAGTTCTTGGTCCTACCTCATATTTCCATCACAAACGTATTTTGAGCAAACACAAAGTTTGTTTGTGTTTAACGCCACGCCAGCTTCTGTGGCTATTTTCATGGTGCGAAAAATGTATGGCTGAATTATTTCAGGTTTTTACGATTTATTTTTGCTAAAAACTCCAAGAAACTTTGCATTCGCTTGCAAAACCTTTTGAATATCTAGCAAAACGTTTGCGTTCTCTCGCAAAGTACTGAAAAATAGTTCTTGGTCCTACCTCATATTTCCATCACAAACGTATTTTGAGCAAACACAAAGTTTGTTTGTGTTTAACGCCACGCCAGCTTCTGTGGCTATTTTCATGGCGCGAAAAATGTATGGCTGAATTATTTCAGGTTTTTACGATTTATTTTTGCTAAAAACTCTTAATACTATATTTGGCTTAACCCTTAAGTTTGTCAGGGAACGCAAAACATTTCTGAAAGAACACAAAGTTTCTTGGTGGAATGCAAACACTTTGAGAGAAGCAAGATCTTTGAAAAATCAACTCGTTTTATTTCCCCACCACCATGTCACTTTAGGGACTCTGTAGATTGTGCTTTCAGCTACCATTAAAATGTAGTACCCTCAGCTTCATGAATCATTTCACCACATTTAAATTCATTCTGTGCAGAAATAAAAATCTGCAGATTCCATCTGGACTTAATCATGACTCTCTGAGCATTCAGATACTTCAGATACAGCATAGAAAGGAGAACATTTTCTGACTGACGTGATGAAAGCAGATTATTTGAGATGGAAAATGCTCAATGAACAAATGAAGACATGAAAGACTCGGGAACATAAAAATGGACATGCCATGCTTGAACGTCTCACTTAAATCAAGCAACTAACAAACTGTCCTATTGATGATTTAAGCGTTTTGACTCAGGGCGCAAGGCAGTCCTTTACCAGGCCCCCTACTGGGACACTGGATGTTAAGGCACAGAAGTGGGCGGCCCTGCACCCTTCTCAACTACACAGATACAAACATCAACCATCACTCGACTTTAAGCCACAATACATTCTCTGCCACATCATACATTTCCAAAGAATATAAAATAAAAGCATTTACCTTTTGTACAAATTAAAGATTTATTTCAAATAAATTAATTCACCTTCATAGATCGTCATCATAATAATAATAACACCAGCAATTAAAAACCTTCAGATTGAAAGCCATGATTGATTCGTTGACACTAAACCAACACAGAGGAAGAAAAGCCACTTCTGTTGACCAGGTAGAGGCCCAAAGATATGCTGTTTGTTTTTAGAAATATGTTTTTAGATTTTGGCAAAGCAGTCAATAAAATAATAAACTGGTCTCGAAATGTTCTTAAAAGAGTTTCAAACATCAACGGCCTAAAACCTAAAAAAAAAGACTTCGAAACAAAACCTTCCGTCGTCCCACTCGTTCATCCCTCAGCCGAAATCCAGCCGTGTTTATCTGTCCCAAGGTCAGTTACAGTCAATGACGGCAGAGCGCTGAGGACATTCTTCATCAGTAGGGCTGGGCACATATTCTCCAGCATTGGTGCAGCCTTGAATCCTGAACTTCAAACCTTAATGACAGCGATGATTGTAATTCTTCACGACACAAATTTAGTGTCTGAAAACATTGTCAAAAAGTGTTTTTTTTTTCTGTACAGTAGTAGTCACATTCAAACAACAGAATTCAGGGAATAGTAAAAGGTCAAACAAAGTCTGACGACAGAGGCAAAGGCAAGCAGAAGAGAAGAGAAATTGACAAAACTACCAGAGGAAGACTAAATGACAAAAAAAAGAGAGGAAAAAAGCAAAGTTTAAGAGGTGAAGAACATAAAGCCAGGGTTCCTTCACGCACTCTGATAATGTGAGGGTCACTCTTGATCCGCTGTAGATGCGAGCAGCACAAACCTGTCTTGGTGACCAGAGGGCCTCGGCCACTGGAGACATACAGTAGTTACCCAGGTATCCTCTTGATATGGATCTGACAAGAGATTAAAGAACATCAGTCAAGAACCAGGCATATGAAGAACATCATCTATGCACATCACCAAATAAAAAAAACAACACAACATGTCTAGTTTGAAGCAATTTTACTGTCCAGTCAACTGTGTTCTGATTTTGGACATATGCGATTTCAGTGTCAAAACTAAACCAGGCATCTGTCAAAATGTCCTTATGTGCCAGACAATGTTGACTGTTATGGCTGGGAAAAAAAAAAAAAAAAAAA